CTAAAACTAGTATAATGGTTCAAATATCAACCTTAATCCAACAATCCGGCCATATAGCTACTATCCCCAAACCTGCAACCTTTCGATATCCCCTCAACAACATAACTTAGCTCCAACTGCCCACTCCTCCTCCGCCGTCAGGATTTCGCGATCGCAGTGCATCGACATGGAAAAGAAGGGCTTGCGTGTTTTTAAACTAGGATTGGGGGTTGGGCTTGGGATCTTTAGGGTGGCGACTACATTCGGGCTTTCGTATATCTCCTATGTATACCGAGACAGGAATATATCCAATAAATGACATATATGTCCTAACATATTGAAGACGACTCTACGAACATCAGCTGAATGTTGCAAAATGTGACATCAAAACCTGCAGTGGCAACTTTAAGCCTTCAGTGGCAAGAATAACTGCAACTTCGCATTCTGGCATCGGTGGCAACAAAGTTGCGAAACTTAGGCGCCCCAGGTAGAGTTTAGGGTTTAGGGTTAGGGGTTTAGGGTTGACGGGGTTCAGGTGAGAAGTTAGGGTCGAAGGCCGCTTTAAGGATTAGCTTTAAGGGTTTGGGGACTAGGATCAGGCTTTAGGGTTTAGGGCTTAGGATGTAGGATTTAGGGTTTAGGATTTAGGGTTTAGCGTTTAGGATTTGGGGTTCTGGTTTTAAGAGGAGGTTGCTGATGCCTTTGAAGGGCTTCGCGCATGTGGGGAAAAAGTCGAGAAGTCTTTGTGGCCCAGCCCGGGGTATACGTAAATGCCGGATATGTTCGGCACAGGGCTTTTTTAGGGTTTGGAAGGGCTCGGAATTTTCCAGAGCTCGAGGACATTTCTTCAAGGGGTGTGTAAGAGCTTCGGGTATATGTACAGCGTTGTGTTATGAAGCTTTTTTGTTGCCGTGGGTTAAGATTGCTGTCAAGCGTATTTTGTGAAGGGGCTTTAGGGCCTAGGGGCTCTACAGAGTTTCTACTGGTATGAGAAGCTTGACACGGAAACGGGTTTCAAATGGCTTTAGGGTCGCAAGGGTTTTGGAGTTTGGGGTCAGAAGGTTTAATGAAGGCTGTGAGGAGTTTGGATGGGCATCGGATGTCCTTCGGTCCTGGGTTAGGCTTCTGGTATAGGGTTATGGATTAAGGCTCCGGGCAAGCGGTGAGAGACACCAGTTGTGCCAGGGCCTTGCAGAAAGCAATGTCGAACGTTGCTTATATAGAGGTCTGCACACCCGAATACAGGCTTTGGATCTTAAAGACCAAACTAACGCATGATGCTTTTGGGCTTGTGCCACTAGGTACTAGTATCCCAATATTTCATACTGTACTAGCTGCAAACGCACACAATATCCACTCCCCAGTTTGACAAGAAGCCCGCATCCTAATATAGGGGCCTCAGTAATTAGAATAGGGTTTAGGGGTATACAGTAGAAGCCAGAAAGTTGGAACATCATTATCCTCGTGCCTAGACATAGAGTCGAGGGAATTCCAGCAATAATCATCCTAATTCGCTGTAGTAAACTATAATTATTATAATAAGGAACCCCCAAAATAGTATAGGTAATTATGAAGGCCCCTATATTACTTCATGTAAGGCTTTTTGCGACACAAAAACAGGTTCGGTGCCTGCCAGTAAGCGGTGGATACCTGAGTCGGTATGCAGCTACTGATGCCGTAAGGCGATTGGATGTAGGAGTCGAAACCCTAAAGCCCCCGAGCCCCGAACCTTGGGCGTCGGGGTTAAGGCCTTTTCCGGAGTCTGGGCTGGATTAGGATGTCGGAGATGCTTTTCGCTCCAATTGTAACATGTGGGATCGCACATAACTCCAAAACAGCTCGTGAAACCAGGCTGGAGGAGACAGAACTCGATTGAATTCAATACGAGGGCTCAACACCCACACGTCTTGTTCTCCAAACTAGGATACCTTTCTACCCTTTCTGGGCTCTTACGATAATGTGCTTGACGTCCTCTGTAATCAGGCCCGGCCAGTGCTGAGAGAGCGAGAGGGTCAAACAAATCCAGGGTTGTGTATCCCAGTTTGCCACATGCCTATAGGCTTGCAAAGTGACATTGAGCATAATAATGAGACAGGCTTCAGCGTGGAGGAGGAACAAAGAAGCTGTGGAGCTTGGGGTTTCGAGTCCAGGGAGCCAGGCTCAGACGAAGTTCGAATTGGAGTCTGCAGCAGGCCTTCAGGTTGACTTCTTGATTCCAAACCCTAAACTCTAAAACCAAAGCTCTAAACCCTAAACTCTTGCTCCAAGTCACAACCGGCACGAAGTGGAACTTACCTTCGAAGTGTCGATCATCAACGCCACCCAGCACCAGTTGGCCATCTTCTTCGTCGCCCAGGAAGAAGCCTACTGTTCAGGGTTTAGGGTTCAGGGTTTAGGGTTTAGGGCCAATAAAAGCCTCGTTGCGACAACAATGAAAAGATGAAATGTATCACGGCTCTGCTGACATGAAGCAACGAATTAGCAGTCATAGTCATGATGATGACGATGAATATGAAGATGAAGATGGTGATGGTGGTGATGATGACGATGATGATGATGGCGATGATGATGATGATGCTGATGATGATGATGGTGATGGTGATGATGATGATTATGATGATGATGAGGATGATGATGATGATGATGGTGGCGGCGATGCTGGTGGCGATGCTGATGGTGATGGCGATGGTGATGATGTTGTTGCTGCTGATGATGAAGAACATGGTGATGATGATGAGGATGGTGAGGCTTACAATGATGATGCACGGTCTTAGCTATCGTCACCACTACTTTTCCAAAGCTATTACAGCCATATTCGCCGCAGGGTTGCCCAACCTGAACTTCTTTCAACAGTTCTTGCTAGCAGTATCATCGTGGCGAGAATGCCCTAAACCCTAAACCTCAAACCCTAAACCCTAAACCTTGCTACACGAGCAACGCAGCTTCCAGGTTTCCTAGTATCGCTTTCCAAACTTCATACGGTTTAGGGTTTAGGGTTTAGGGTTCCGGGTAGAGGCTGGCTAAGGAGACAACTCGCAAACATCTGAAGTATGACAGAAGCCTGGATAGCTGGCAGCAGCAATGATTTTCCTCAGGTTCCTTAACATGATTATACCTGAATATTCCCCAACACCCTATTCTAGTTCTGAAGACCCCTTAACTTCAGAATCTGCAAGCACGAAAGTTATGTTTAGGGCTTATTTTCGCTTAAACCTCAAACCTAAAAGCCGAAATGCCTACAGACTGCGGCCAAAACCTACCCAAAACGGCTGAGCAACTGAAGACCGGTTCCTTCAGACGACGTCCCGCAACGAGCGCCTGCTCAGGGTGACACTTTCCAGGTTGCATTCCGGAACATGTGGATACCCATAGGCTCCATTGTAGTCCCTCTTTGGGGCCTATATTTAGGATCCTATCAGGTAACCCCCCAAAGGAACTACAATAAGGTAACCCCTCAAAGGAACTACGATGGATCCTATAGGTAGTTGTCAAAATTAAAATCTTGCTGGAGAGCCCAATTTCTGAATACGGCACCCGTCTTGACAACCACCCATGTGGGTGTGGATGGGTTTAGCATAGGGATTTGAGGTAGTAAGGTTTACGGCTCCACAAGAAGCTTAACCCCTAAACCCTAAACCCTAAACCCTTGTAACATGTAGAGTCCTGGAATCGTTGCTTTCTGAGCGGAGGCTTCAGGTAGGGTTCAGGGTTTCTGAACCCTGAACCCTAAACCATCGGGTTCCTATTCGGGTTCCTTTAAGGGTTCCCTTTTAGGGCTTTTCGGGGAATAGGGTTTAGGGTTTGGGGTTTAGGGGCATATACGGATTCCCAACGATGACAGGGTTTAGGGTTTTAGGGTCTAGGGATTCTAGGGTGTTCAGGGTTTAGGGGTTTTAGGGTTTAGGTTTCAGGGGAATTCGAGGGCGAGAACATCTCCAGCGTCCACTATGTCTGTGAAGGTGTGGCATTCTCGTCTGAAGAATTCGTTGTTGAGGTGTCTTGCTGTCGCAGGTACCCCTAAATTTACTAAAGCAAACGTCCCCAATCTCAACTTCTACGAAGATAAATGTCAACAGGCATACGCATGTTACAGTATGCATCAGTACGTATGGCAAAGGGGCGAAACATTCACTGACAAAGCCCGGATACCCACATCTGGCGGCTTTAATATAATGAACGCGTCGCAACCGTTCTGCGAGAAGTCGAAGACCAGCAACTTCGGAAAATTCTGGTCATTAAAAACGCCAAGGGAAAAGAGGCTGGCAGAGCGAACTGCTGTCATGTCGCTGACATCTTAAAAGCTGAATGATAGCAGCATCAACATGATGTTGGTGCCGTGAGTAACTCGTGTTGTTAGCACCAGGGCTGTTGTTCATAGTACTGCTACGGATGAGCACCGATACTACGAACAAACCGACGAGTTACACTGCACGGCTGCTGCCCTAACAAGAACAAGACCGGGAATACTCACAGCAACATTACGGTCACCACCACCACCACCACCACCACCACCAACAACAACAACAACAACAACAACAACCACCAGAACCACAACCGCAACCGCGGCCACGGCAACAGCAACAGCAACAGCAACAACCGCACCTACACCCACAGCAACAGCAATAGCGAGAGCAGAAGCAACAGCAGTTGCAACAACAGCAGCAACAGTAAAACCAGCACCCCCCACTAACACCTCCGCCACCACCACCACCAGCAGCAGCAGCCGCAGCAATAGCGCATGTCAACAGTCACCCTGTACTGCCTATCAAAGCTCATCCTCTATCATGTCAACTAAAGCACTTCCTTCTGTGTGTACCTCCGGGGCACCTGTGTCGTCAGCAATTGCAGCAGGTGTCCTTGCTCCTTCGGAGCTGCCACCATGCTGATGCTGGGGCTGTCTTCTTCAAGGAATGTCGCGTTCCTTTTTCAATCTTCAGTCAACTTTGCTGGGGTTACGAGGACTTGGGAAACTCATTCAGAAGCAGGTGAGAAGGACAGCCCTTGATGTCGGTTCTTCAACCTCACTCTTCACCCGCGTCTGTGTAACCATAAGCACCGTCTGCAGCTGTGTCGTCTCCATCCTCAACATCTCCATCACCTCCATGCCCGGCTTCGTCTGCAAACCCTGCGCCATCTTCCTCTCCATCATCTCCATAACCGACTTCGTCTGCAAGCCCTGCGTCGTCTTCACCTCCATCAGTTCCATCACCTCCATACCCAGCTTCGTCTGCAGGTTCATCATCTCCATCTCCAGTACCTCCATCAACATATCAGGGCACCCTGAGGAATACCATTACTACGTGTTGAGCCCCCTAGATTCTAGATTGACGACTTTCGTCGGCATGACCTGTGTCCTCAATATCCCCTTCCCCATCTGAGCCTTCTCCATCACCATATCCAGTGTCCCCCTCTGCGCCCACGCCATCATCTGCAGATCCGTAGTTCTCGCTTGCACCGTCAGCTCCTTCTGCGCCATCATGCCCACCATCCTCATTCTCTCCATCAGCTTCTCCTCCATCCCCGTCGTCGCCATCGGGTCTATCTTGCCCGCCGTGAGTCCCGTCGCAAGACTGGCAGCAATACAGACTCGCCGCCTCTAACCCGGGTTGGTCACAAAGGCGCCTAGCGACGATGTCGGCACAGTCGGTCGCGTTCAGGTGTGGGGCCAGGGCCTGACATGTGGTCCACCAAAGCAAGGCGGGGCACAAACACTTTGCATAAATGAGATGAAAGACCGGAGATCCGATACCCTATACTGGCTTCCCCCCATTTTATCACACCCCCCCCAATAACAATAGCAACACTTTGGGGCCAAACCTCCTGAAATCACCAATGCCCTTTAACCAGTAATTTGCACTGGGTGGGTCCGGAGCAAGAGAGCAGGAGGAGTAAGAACAAGAGCAATAGCAATAGCAAGAGCAGCAGTAGAGCAAGAGCAAGAGCAAGGGCAAAAGTAAGAGCAGGAGTAAGAGCAAGATCTGAAGCAAGAGCGAGATAAGAGCAAAAGCAAAAGCAAGAGCAAAGGCAAGAGCAAGAGCAGCAGAAAACGCAAGAGAACAAGCCAATATCAGGCGTAAGAGCAACAGCAGGAGCAAGAGCAAAAGCAAGCTCAGGAGTAAGAGTAACAGCAAAAAACAAGAGCAAAAGGCAAGAGCAAGAAGAGCAAGAGCAAAAGAAGGGGGAAGAGCAGGAGCAAAAGCAAGAGCAAGAAGAGCAAGAGCAAAAGAAGGGGGAAGAGCAGGAGCAACAGCAAGAGCAAGGAGCAAGAGCAAGCGCAGGAGCGAGAGCAAGAGACGCAGCAGGAGCAGGAGCAACAGCCAGGCTGGGAGCAAGAGTCAGAGCAGGAGCAAGCTCTCCCGAACCCGCCCGCGCACGCACACACAAACACAAACACACAGTGCACACACAGCAACAACAACACCAACACCCACACCCACACCCTCCCACACAAAGACCCACACCCACACCCACACCCAGCCCCGACACCCTCCCCCCTCCGCACACGCACACACACACACACACACACGCGCACACACACACACACACCCGTCCGTATCTCCCCATCCGCCGGACCACTTTTCCATTCCCCACATATCCCCATGTTGCGTCTCACTCTGAAACCGCAAACTACCCGGATATGACATGACTAGCACAAGGAAAACATACTCATGTGGGCTTATCCGGTCCTCTATTTTTTGAGCGTGTTTGGGGTTCAGGGCACAGGGGTTGATGTGCCTGCAGCATCCCGGTGCGGACATCCTGGCAACTGTAGTCCCCGCACCCCAAACCTCAGTCAGTGCTAATGACCAGGGTTATGAGGGTTTAGGGCTTAGGGGTTTAGGGGGTTTGGGTTTAGGTGTTTAGGTTTTAAGGTTTAGGGCTTAGTAGGTTTTGAGGTTTAGGGTTCCTTGGCTTAGAGATTAGAACTTCGGGCTCAGAGGTCTCATGGAGAGTACACTAGCCAACATCATGTAGGGGCCTTAATGACTAGAATAGGGTTTTTGGGCCCATTTTGCGATAAATATAATAAGGAACCCCCAAAATAGTATAAGCAAGTCTTAAGGCCCTTATATTAATCAAGCCATGGCTTTGAGACTCAGGTCCAGCGAACACCATATAGGCAGCCCCAAGAAGGAGCCGTGAAAACTTGTATACAATCTGCTAAGACACTAGCACGGGACATGATCAACTCGCCTTCCAGGCTAAACCTTCAACTCTAAAACCCAAAGCCCCAAATCCTTAGCCTCAAACCCGAAGACCCCTAAAGCCCCAGACCCTCAACGCTAAACCCTAAATACCGAAGTCGAGCCGCAAGTCGCGGGACAAAGTTCCGACAGTGGGCTGAAGAATTGGGCGAAGCCTGCACACCAGGGCGCCTTGGTCACTGGCCTGAGTTCGTGATAAGGATCTAAACTTAACATCTCATAACTATCATCATAGGCTTTAGGGTTAAGGGTTTCGGGATCTATACTAAATGATGTGGTTTCCTTACTATGGTCACTTAAGGTAAACCCCTTGAAACATAGCAAGAGCCCAGTGGCTCCTGATAGCCGTCGTTGTTCTGCAGGGCCGCACACCCAACCTCCTTTAGCCGTAAGGCAGTCCATGACAAGTGCTCCAGCTGTGCCGGCTCTATGATCTTGCCGTAGCTGGCGGCTGCGGCAGGATAACTGTCCTCGGCTGATAGCTTCGAGGGTTGTTGGGGCAAAAGCTTTAGGGGTCTACTAGACTTCAAAGTTTCGCAAAGTGCCACCTCGTCTAGGACCCTAAACACTAAACCCTAAACCCTAAACCCGAAACCGCCACACATCTTCACTCGCTCTTAACCGGATGGACGAGGAAAGATGGGAGGAAGGGGGCCCCTGTGGTACTACGAAGCTACTCCTTGAGCTGAAGGCTTCGGGGCCTAAGGACCATACATCAGGAGCTTTTAGGGTTTAGGGTTTAGGGTTTAGGGTTTAGGGTTTAGGGTTTAGGGTTGCGGTTTGGGGTTTGGGATTTGGGGGGGGGGGCAGGGGCGTATTATGGTACAATCAAAAGAAGGGAGCCCTCAGGAATGCTATTGATAAGTATTCAGGATTCTGCCGCACTACATAACGTGTTTAGGGTTTAGGGTTTAGGGTTTAGGGTTGAACATGGTATGATCATTTTTTGTTTTTGGTGTTCCCAACAGCTACGAAAGGTGTAAACTCCGACAGTTTACTACCCCAAAGACTGTAAACCTGTAAAACCCGAAAGTGTACCACCCACACAGCTTCAAACCTGCAGAACAAAGCAGATTTCTACCCACTAAACCTGTGGCATCGGAAGTTCAACTACCCGGCAAGCTTCAAACTTGCGAGACCCGAATGTTTACTACCCCACAAGCTTCAAACCTGCGAAACCCCACAGTTTGCTACTTCAAGGGCTCTTTACGAGGAAAGACCCACTATAAGTAGGGAAAAAAAGTGCAGCTGTTGCGTAACATGCAATGAATGAAGGAAAGAACAACGGTGATGACCGAGGGAACAAAGGACCAGGAGAGCAAAGGACCGGTAGACCAGAGTGCCCGGAAAAGCAAGCTCAAAAACAACGCGCAGGCCTGGTGTTGGTGCTACCATTGAGAAACTTCATGATTTCCAAGAAGACGTAGCATAAATGGACACAGTTCTGCACTATCTCAGTTCAGCACTCTCAACTACGGGAAGCTTGGCTTCTTCGGTAACATGGCTAATGCAGTAGCTTGTCTAGCAGCTATACTACTGAAACTCCAAACCCTGCACTGCAGCCGAAAAGCCCTAAATACAACAACAAACCCTTGGCAACACCCTAAACTCCTGAAAAGCCCAAATGCCACAAAGCACTGCTAGGCGAGCTTCCCAAAGAGCCAGCCACCTTTCATCGTCGCGTTCCACATCTATGCCTGGGCTCCCCAGTGACCCGTGCATTGTGATGGAAATATAGATGCCTGAGTAATTGGACAAGGCTTTTGGGGCCCGGTCTATAATTATAATAAGGAACCCCCAAAAACCCTGTTCGAATTATTACGGCCCCAACATTACACTTTCCCTATCATTCAGACACGGATATTCCCGAATAATCTCGTGTTGAAAAGCCTTTTGGTAGAGGCCGATTCAAAGGGTAGAACGGATACTACTGACTACTGAAAAACAGTTCAATCCCAAAGCCTCAACTCTTATAGAACCCATTCAAACTCCTTAGAAACAGGATACCATATAAAAGAGATTCTACTCCGAAACCCAGCCATACACTCTTAAACCCTAAACCGTAAAACCGTGCTGTAAACCCTAAACCAGACGTAGTTGCAAGTCTCGGGGTGGTTCCTTGCCTCCTCCACAAACTCCCGGCGCCGCTGTAAGCCTCGATGGCGGAAAAATCGCGGTTGTAAAGTCACCCTTTTCGGCGTTTAGGGTTTTGGGTGATTACGGGTTTGTTTAAGGCTTCCTTCAGGAGGGCTCATATGTGCCGGGTTCCGAGCCTCCCTCCCCCCCTCCTCCTTCACATGGTATATCTCAAAAATGCAGCTTCCGGACACTAAAGACGCAAAGGCGATGAACGATTTCGAACACCGCTGTGGCTTCCGGTTGGATCTAGTATTCAAAACGCTTGCCCCGGTGCTCGTTTCGAGTCCATGGTATACCCCGCTTAGCCCCGCTGTTGCGATACGGCGGCGGGACGCGCCAAGGCTGGTATGTGGGCATTCGGGGCGGGGGGATCCCATTGGAGGCAGGGGTGGGGGGAGGGGGTCAAGAACTCGGAACCAGGACACATATAGACCATGAGAATTTCAGTCAAGGCGCGGTTTTCTGACCCTGAAGAAAATCTCAACACCAACCCAAAGCCCAAAGCCCTATAGACCCAAGGCCCCAAAACCCTACATTAAACTAGCGTAGCCTACTTGTGTCTAGGTTCCCCTTACAAACCCCATTATAGAATTTATCGGGACCCTACCAAACAAGCAGGTGTTGGCACACTAAAACCCTAAAGCCCTAAACCCTAAACCCTAAAGCCTTAAACCCTAACCCTAAACCCCAAAACCCTAAAACTTTAAACCCTAAGCCCTAAAACCCTCAAGCCCTAAACCCGTTTAAGGTAGCGCCGACACCTTTGCTCACTCCCCCCCCCCGCCCGCTCCCCCCCCCCGCGGCGAGCGGCAAACTCGGGAGCATCCTTGGGCCTCCACCATGAACCTGAAGACACAGTTAGTTTACGGTTTAGGGAGTTTAGGGTTTAGTTGTTTATGGTTCAGGGGTTTAGGGTTTTAGAGTTTAGGGTCTGGGGTCTAGGGTTCCAAGTTTGAACCCATGAGCCCCTAGTATGAGCCCTTAACCCTGGAATCCTTATACACCTACTATATACCCTACATGTACCATGAACCTGAAGGGGTTCTAATGTAGGAGCCTTGATGCGTCTTTGGGGTACATCATACTATAAGCTAATAAGGAACCTGAAGACGATTTAGGGATTTAGGGTTTTTTCGGGTTGTGTTTCGGGTTTTAGGGTTTAGGGTTTAAGGTTTTAGGGTTTAGGGTTTTAGGCTTTTAGGGTTTGAAGGCTTTAGGGTTTTAGGGTTTAGGGTTTTAGGGCTTGAGGGTTTTAGGGTTAGGATCTAGGGTCTAGGGTTGGGGTTCTAGGTTCCCCAGTATGGTAGGGGCCTTAATGATTAGCAATAAGGGACCGTGGTTGATAACAAATTTCGGTTTTACCACGGAAACTGAGACCATAAGATAAAAGGGGCGAAAGGGTACTGCTGGAGAACCTTTACGGGTTTGGGTTTGGGGCTGCGGCTTTAGAAGCTCCCATAAGGGATTCTATAAGCATTCCTTTTAGGATCTATAAAGGTTCCTTGAAAGGATCTAGACGGGTTCCTTCAAGGGATCTATCCGGGTCCTTTGATTGGATTGCTGAATCAGGGTTTGGAGGTTAAGAGTTAGGGTTCAGGGTGGCTCCACAGGATTAATTTCGGATGGCGATAACGGTAGAGACGTGTGAGTATTAGGGCCTCACTGCCCAACAAGGAACAACACTCATCTCTTGTGGTTGAGTTGTGGGGCAAGGGTTTCGGGGTGTAGGATGCTTGGGATAGATGTGTATCATCGGAAGGATAAAGCTAAAAACGCTGCAAATACGGCGAATATGCAATCAGATGGATGGATAGATAGATACGAGTAGATAGATAGATAGATAGATAGGTCGATAGGTAGATAGTTCAGTAGATACATAGACAGATAGACAGATAGATCGACCTAAACCTATATACATACAAGAAGTCAGGATCCCAGGCAGTGCGGCCTTAAACCCTAAACCCTACACCCTGAACCTTAACAACCCAGGAACCAGGAGTTGTAGCGTTCCGACTGACAGCCGCATGTCGGGCCGCACACCTTGGGCACAAGCTTCAGCTTTTTATCAATGGGCTTGGAGTTTAGGGCTTTAGGGTTGAGGCTTTTGGGGGTTAGGGTTTGGGGTTTAGGAGTTTGGAAGTTGAAGGGGATCTGTTTCAAGACACGTGTCGTGAGAGTAACATGCTGCCAGTCACACAAATGCGTAAGCATATAGGCGATGTTCTCTCTTAGGAACAGGAAGCTAAGTCACAGTATGAATGCAACATCCGTGTGACATCTATTATCAAGCCCTATCACAGGACGCGATACAAAAGCCTCAACAATATAAGACTGAGGACACGGCATTGTTCGCCGATAGATTCCGGATTGCCGACCGATGCATCAAGTAGCAAAATATCATATTCAATGCGTACCCGAGAGTGCAGACTCAGTAGTCAGACGCACTGGCTCGATTTTGCGGAGTTGCATCGCATCAGCGGGTTAATCATACGTTTTTACACCTACACTTCGCAGCGTCTGAATTCGCTTGACTGACAGCGGAGTGACACGATTTTTGTTCACCCGTGTACCATGCTTCTTCGAAGCTGGTTTTTCAATATGTGCTGACATACTACTTTGCTTCGTGGTTTTGAGCCGGTGACAGTGTCAGTCAGCATTGCCTTCTTCCGAGCACCCTCCGAAGCTTGTTCCGAACACCAACCAACCCAGTATAACCCAGTCGTCCCCATGCCACAGCGACATGTGCAATGATCTGCTTAGCAGCATGCTTGCACTCACCACATGTGACGATGGGAACTGAATTGAAAGATGATGCAACAGAAGTTTGGTATATCGGAAATACATCAATTTCATGGCCAGAGTTGATCGGTGCATAGCGTTCATGTTCCGTGACCAGGAATTGATTTCTGCGTGTAACACCTCGTTGCTTGAGGCTCCGCTTGGCAAGAACCATCTGGAGGACGGCTTCTACTTGCAATCGCAATATGCATGCAGTCTGGAGGCCTATGCGTGATTCAACACCATCTCTCGTAGAAGAAGATCTGCAAATGAGTGTGTATAGTAGAGGTTACGCACTCGTCGGACTGGGAGACTAGTGCCAATGCCGGATACATTGACATACTTCGGCCCCGTGGCGTCAAACACTACCCGGATCTGCTTGTCAATGTTGTTCTGCGTCGATTGTAGCGGTGGCTGAATTGTTGTTCTGAGGATGGTGGCACTCTCCTGCAGCACGTTGTCCGCCGTAGTTTGTGAGGAAGCTGCATGATCGCGCAAAGCCAATATGATTTTGATCTGCTTGGTCCCGGAACATACCTACTGGTTTCTGCTTGTGTGATGCTTCGTAACATTGGTCCTCGACAGTCGAAGCTGAGTGAAGGACCTGAAGAGACAGAGAGGACACCTTCGCGTTCCATCGTGTCTCTCCGACGTTGTACGAAGATTATTCAGGACGTTATTGGTTTCTTGATGCAATGATTCCATGATATTGTCGTTGACAACCGGAACATCTTCCTGATCAAAGGATACCTTGCCGGAGCTAGTTGCTGGGTGAGCTTCGTCCATGTCTTCAGACGCATCGCCTTCAGAACCGTCAGAATCATCACGTACACCTGCGACCATGTCCAACAACAAAGCAGATTTATCGCTGATCTTGTCTTCGGATCCTTCTCCCAGTATGACACCATAGTAGAATGATCCACGGCAGCACAGTGGATTTCCCGGAACGTGCCCATGTTTTTCGTTCGACGACCGTGGCACCGTCGATGACAGTCACACCGACTCCAGGCCCATCCACTCGGATAGCTAGGGTTTAGGGTTTAGGGTTTAGGGTTTAGGGTTTAGGGTTGTTTCCCTCGTAGTGCACCACAAACGACTTGACATGTGCTTCTGGCAGTCCAATGCAGCAGGCGATGTCAAGAGAACACATAGAAGCAACTGACCGAGAATCTCTGTGCGTTGGTTTCTTGGCATCGATGTTCTTTGTCAGGGATTCGTCCGATCCCGAGTTCAATTATTTCACTTGCTTCCGTTATTTGAGGTTTGAAATAATTGAAATACATAAATGACCCCCGATTTCAATCATTTCTATCTAGCTACAGAGAAACAAATAGGGCGTCAAATAGACCCTGCAGGAATCTCTCTCTCTCACATATATATATATATATATAGAGAGAGATATAGATAGAGAGAGAGAGAGATTGCCAAGCCTAAACCTCGAAGGCTAGACCTGGAACAAACTGCCCAACCCTCGCCAAAAACCCTACACTCTAAATCCAAAGCTCCCAGACTCTAAACCCTCAACCCTCAACTCTAAACCAACCCTGACCCCTCAACCGTATGCCCTCAAGCCTGACGAGCTGAATCCGAACCCGAAGCTGCAAAAACCAAGCCCCCGACCAGCCGAAGGAGACTGCTGCGGTCGCAGTAGTTCCTGGGCTCTTGGCATCAGAATGGTCTAAAGGTGAAGAGGTCCAGACGTGCCGTTTGGGGTACTACTACTAGCACTGCTACTGCTACTGCTACTGCTACTGCTACTGCTACTGCTACTGCTACTGCTACTGCTACTGCTACTGCTACTGCTACTGGTATTGGTATTGGTATTGGTACTGGTACTGCTGCTACTACTACTACTACTACTACTACTACGACTACTACTAATATCCAAGCACGAGTATTGTGGGCACTATTGCTTTGCAAAATGTTACTGTCTTCACGCTAGTGGGCGGTTTATTTGTTGTGGACTTGATTCAGTTCCGTGGCTGGTAAATTCCATGCCGGCAAGAATGACCATCATGAAAGCAGACCCTGATCTAGGACAGAACCTACGCGGCTGTCGCTACGATGGTGATGACCGGTAATCGTACAGCTGCAAGTTGATGTAACTGTATCACCCAGATCAATATCCTATCCCTAAGCCCGATTACATGATCTCGCAGTCACACTGTCATTATGATTCACACGCTCACTTATGATGCTGCAGAACAGGGTAAATATCAAGACTCGCAATACTAAAGGCCCAAATTCCTGAATCTTGAACCCTCCAAATGGCACAAATGGCAAAAACCCTCAGAGAACGATCAATGCTCAACTTTCTCAGAAGGCCTAAAAACCCTGAATCCACAACCCTAGAACCTCGCAAACCCTAAAGTCACATCGTTAGAGTCCACAGCCTTCCATCACTAAACCCTCAACCCAAGGCCCTATGTTGTAGGATCGTAATCTAGGTTCCCCAGTAGCCCCTCAATAATAAGGGTACCTCGAGTCTCAAAGAGCGGTCATGTCACGGAGGGGAGCTGAATAAGGGTACCGTTTTTCCTACTGTTTGGTTTTATTCAGGGAACCCCAAAAGACAAAGGGCAAAGGGTACTACTGGGGAACCGAGGAATTAATGAATCTTCATACCAAGGACTCTATATAGTAGGTCTAAAATCATAAGAAAATAGAAGGTGCTTTTTGCAAGAGCCCTGAAACACAGAAACGGAACGTGGTACCCTTGCAGAGAAAAACATGATTTGCTGTTTCTTAGGGGTGATAAGAACCAAAAATTCGAAATTGTTTCCAAGTACCCACAAGAAACGAGGTCGCCATCCCCAAAAACCCTAAACTCAAAACCTCCACACATATTTACCTAGGAAATGAGGCCATTGGGTTCTGTGATTGAAACATTAAATACTAATACTAACTGATGATGCTACTACTAAGGCAATAACCATAGCAACATCATATGGATGTACATACATATAGGTATATATATATATATATATACACACACACACATGTCTTTTGCACACACACACACACTGATCACGAACAACTGTTCCTGAGAACACTAACCTTTGTCCGGGCACACCATCTCAGCACAGGTGGTGTTCTCGCCAAAGCCAAGGCTGAAAGTCACGGTGCGCCAATACACAGCCTCGGATGGGCCAAGAGGGAGTGTAAAGATTTTTCAAGCGCAATGAGACCGGGTGTATGGCTTAGGGTTTTAGCGTGTTGGGCTCGTAACAAAATCCAGCAAGCGGGTTTACGGATTTGGGAGCTATACAGACTCCAACAAAACAACTAAGAATACGCGTTCTTGAAATATTACTCTTGTTTCAAAGACTCCTGCCTCTGGGAAGCGGCTCTGTGCCACTTTAGGAATTTCAACTTGGTGTTTATGGCATTCGGGTTTAGGCTTCATGTGTTTGATAATATACGGTATAAGCATAGTAGCAAACTTGCGTAGTCTAAGCTATATTCATCAGTTAGGGTGTTGCCAGGTCCTACTGTCTGCTGTTTATGCCTCTCGGTGAAAAGTGGTATGCTGGTGACACAGCCCACACCCTAAACAGCCAAACCCAACAAAAACCTAAACCCGGAGCCCTAAGTATAATGGGGCTCTTCTGTTGAGAAGCAGGGAACGCCGAGTCATGCCAACGAAGCCAGAAGGAGCTACTAGCTTACTAGCTGGCATGTCGATCATGGTTTAGGGCAGCCAGCATTGAGACTTCAGGAAGTGGGTCTCAAGTGCCGAGTCATCCTACCAAAACTCCTTCTGAACTCTTTATGCCAGTCTAAATGTATATATATATATATATGTATATATATATATATATATATAAATATTATAATATAATTATTATATTATATACATATATATATATATTAAATGAACCTCAGAGCAGGTTGAGGGCAGCCTGGAAGCATAGATGTTGGCAAAGTCGATGACGCTCTTGGCCTTTCCAAACACAAACCAGGCATCGAAATCATTGCAGGACTGTACCGTCGAGGCTGCGTCTGCGATGTTCTCAGCACGCTTGTTCGCGAAGGCGGGGCCGCTTTCTTGGAACGAAACGAAATCCGAGAATCCAACAAATGCATAATCCTGCACTGCGGTCTCAATGAGGGTGGCATTGTCGTGGTCCGTCCGCTGGTACGACTCCGTTCCACGCGCCAAGATCACCCCGATGTCGTCGTTCATGGCCACTACGAAATCACGTTCGCCGCCACAGTAGGCATGCTTCACCTCGGCACATCAGCAGACTGTTTGGACGATGCCTGTACTGATTGCAACGCAACCTCCATCGCGCCATTAGATGTAGCCCTGTAGCTCGAAATAAGCAGGACTGGCATGTCAATCTGGATGTGTACCCAGCTTGACACTTCTGCTACTGCTCGCAAAAAGAACATGGCACAGACAGCATGCTTGGATATGATGGCCCAAAGTCATGCGGGTGTTAACCTAAATGTAGATGGGCTCCAAGAGACTCTGTGCACACCCGAGCATGAAGTGAAACACGACATACGATATAACATACCCGCCGATGCTGCTAGTATAATGACGATGACGACCTGCCGATGACTGTCAAAAGTCACATTCCTGCTGTTCATGTCTTTGTCTTTGTCAGTAATGTAGGGGCCTTAATAATTAGAGTAGGGTTTTGGGGGTTCCTTAATATTAACTAGATTACAGAATAGTAGTATTCTAAATGCCCAAACCCTGCTCTAATCATGAAGGCCCCTATATTAAACCCTAAACCCCATTGCCACTGCTTCCTCTAAACCCTAAACCCTAAACCCTAAACCGTGGGTTTAGGGTTTAGGGCCCGCCTGCTGCATCGTTGATCCGAGGGGTTCGAGCAAAAAGTGCCAGGGCCAGAGAAGGAGGCCGAGGATGAGCAGGACGAGTACCAGTGCCTCGGCATGGCAATGGGGTTATGAGGGTTTGGGGTTTAGGGTTCAGGGTTTTAGGGTTTAGGGCTTAGGGATTAGGGGTT